CCTCCTGGGTTTGAGGAATAACGCCCCCGAGGTGTGGGTTGGACGGTGGAAATCCCCTAGGCAGCCCATATAAGGGAAGGTATATTAGCACTGTCGTAGTATTATAAGTGTATTGTCGTCGTGTTTGTGAGTAAAGGGAAAGCAACCAACGGCCAATGAGTAACGTCACTAACTCCACTAGTCCATGGGCCGTTCTTAACAACTATTGGGACTTGGAGCAGCCTCAGGGATTGCTCTTGTTTGTGGGAGGGGTAATCTTGTTTCTCCTCTTGATGGTGTGTTGGAAGCCAAGATTGTGACTGATTAAGGGATCTGTGTAGAATGAGTGAGTGCCGCTGACAGGTCTGAGGCTTAAGCTGACTTCAGCCGCCCCAAGACTCCTGCGAGGAGAAACCCGGTGACCAGGATATCTTGATTGCAAGGGGGGGTCAGCCGAACCTCGTGACCTAGCGGATATCTGGGTTAAAACTGAATCCCTAAAAGCCCCTTGATATCTCCGTCTTGAACAAACCCCTGGGTAAAGTGTAATGGGGTCCGGACAAAGTACCTTCTCCAGTACGCCCCTGGGGTGTATGCTGGATAACTGGAAGGTGTTTAGACGCCAGGCTGATTATGGAACTGTATTATGTAAAGACAATCTTGTAAGATTCTGTACTCTTGAATGGACAACCTTTGGGGTGGAATGGCCCGAGGGGGGGACACTCAAGCCAGAAATTGTACAAGCAGTACATAGCGTTGTGACCCGGGATGGGCATTGGGACCAATATCCCTATATAGATATTTGGCAGGGCCTCGTAGCCAATCCTCCCCCATGGTTACAGAAATGTAAAGTACAAACTATTAAGACCTTAATGGCCCATGCCCATATTAGGAAACCCTGTCCCCCTGTTAAGAAATCTTGTCCTCCGACTGTGATTCCTTCAGCCCCTGATCCTATGCCCCCTCCCCCTTTGTATCCTGGCCTCCCAGTTCTGGCCCCCTCAACGGAAAACCCCCCCCCCCCTCTCTGAGGATAATGCTTCAGCTGAAAGGGGTGAGCCGAACCACGAGGACCTTTCCAAACAGGAGTCCCCTTTAACCTCTCTGAGCTCCTCAATATCCGACCGCACCAGGAGCAAGACGGGCCCAGTAACAAATCAAAACTCCGAGACACAGTGGAGGATGTCGACTGATTATAACCCTGGGGATATTAGATTTACCCTTATTGGCTCCCCGGGCCAGAGTGGTAGGATACACGAAATGCCCTTGCAGCAGAAATATTTGTGTCCACTGCGG